CACCGCTGCACCCCAAAGGCCGGGCGGTAGCCCCTGCTCGGAGGCCAGCGCCGAGCTTCCTACTCCATTTCCCCCCAGAGCTTGCGGCGCATGGTTCCCCTCCTCTGCGGACACCCCCAGCCTGCCGCCCCCACGACCTCCGTTCCAGAAGAAAACCCGCGCCGTCGCCACGGACCACGCCTCACCTCAGGTTCTCCAGTTCCAAAGGCAGGTTGTGGCGGAGGAGTCTGTGGAGCTGCTTCACTCTGGGCTCCCCGGCAAACTTGACCCTCAGGACTTGATTCAGATACCTTGCAGGAAAGGGGAGAACGGAAACCACCGCTCAGTCCCCCGTGGCCTCCTCCTGGAGCTCCCGTGAAGCGCAGCCACGGGATGCCAGTGGGGAGCCCCGGGCTCTCTAGAAAACTCACTTCCTGCCCACCCACCCGTCCGGCAGACCAGAGGAAGGACTCCGACCACCGTGGCAAACAAGTACTCACGCTGGCACCTCTGGTGGCCGCTAACACAAAACTGAGTCAGAGCTAAGCGGTTTGGCCACTTACTTTTCCATTGTTCCAAAAAGCCATTTTGGTTCCTTATTGAATGGCATTTTCATACCATGAAATGTGGCCATTTTCTCAGCTATTTCTGCAGAAATATCTGGCAAACTTAATTCTTCAGTGTCTAATCGCCGGCTCTGGAATAAAAAAGGGAGTTAGAAAACAGCATTTGTTCAGGGAACCTGGAGGTGTGCGATCACACAAGCCTAAGGACTAGGAGTCCGTTCTGTAGGGCATCTAAGTCTCCTCCGGCGCACCGAAGTCCCGTAGGAACGGGCACCGTGCCCCGCGGACAGTGCCCCAGCAATCGCCATGGCGTTTGTCAGCAAGGGGGAGGGGCCTGCTCCACAGCTCAGTATCATTTTGAACCCTTTTAATCCTGAGAAGGTCCTCCCCGCATACAAGCGTTTAGGCGGACTCTGTGCTCCCTGCCCTCCGCCTGACGCCAGAGCGTGCCCTCTTCCCTGGTAAAAGCTCCAGGTTTCCAGCGGTCTGTCACATGAGCCCGTGTCTAACTCCTTCAGCAGCTCGGACACCCCGCCCGGACACATCTCAGGCAAGAGGTGGTCCCAATCGGGAGCACTGCCAGGAATTCAGCATGAGCCACGGCCCCCTCGCCCACGGTGGCGTCCACAGCCCCCGCCTGGCACAGAGCAGGCTCTCAGAGCGCAAAGCTGAGCGAAGAAACAGAGGTGCCCAGCTCCCACCACTGCGGCTCCCGTCACTGCCACCCCCAGAGCTCCCAGTTCCCACTACTGCGGCCCGAGGCCACGCCCGCTCCGGAGGCACGTCCCAGCTCCTCACGAGGAAAGCACAATCCACTGAGACCTGTTCGTCCTTCCCACACGCACCGCTCCCCTCCAGAAGCCCAAAGAGGCATTCCTCCGAAAATCCAGAGCGGCACAGCACAGGGGTGAACAGGGGGAGTCTCCAAGCTAGAGACAAAAAACCCAGCTCGAACCCTGGCTTTAATCCTCATGTCAAAGGCATAGGGCCAAAGGCACGCTGCTCAGACCTCTGCGTCTGACTTTCTGGTTTCCACAAAATGAGAAGCACATCAAGTCCCTGGCGGGGCTGCTCTGAACGAGGGCGGGTGCTGCGGGCAAGGGCCCTGGGCCAGCAGCCCGCCGGGCAGGTCTTGACAAATGGTGGGAGCCCGGCGACGAGAGCTCAGGGCTCCCTGGAAGCAGCAGGCCCAACCTCGCCCTCCTCCTGCACCTGGGGCCCTGCAGCTTCTTGAACGGTGGCACCAAGGTGAGGGCAGGGCGTTCACTCGGCTTTCCCTCGGCTCGGTTACAAAACGCCACTGATCTGTTTGGCACCGTGGAAAGTGTAAGGCTAACCGCGCTCAAAAATGAGCCCCTTGCAGGGTTCTAAGCTCCTTCGGAAAGTGCAGCAGGAGACCAGCGTTCGCAGAGGTCACCTCCTGTGCCCTCTGGAACAGAGGCTTCCTGTGGCTACGGGGACTGGATGGGGTGGGGCGCACGCGGCAGTCCCGAGGAAACTTGCAAGTAAGACGTGCCATCAGGCCGAGCCAAACGCAATCACCGTCTCTGGGGTCAAAAGCAGTTGGATATCGGTAGTTTCAAGTGGTTTGACCTAGTATTTTAACAGAATTTTTAAAAATCTTCATGACATAGCAAACGTTATATATAAAGACACTGGAATTACAGAACTCAAACCGCATGCACCCACGGACACTCCGACGCCCGCATCCTGGTCCGGGACAGGACGCCCCGTTATTCTGAGCTGTGGTCCCTGCTCCTTTCCCTTCCCTACAAGGAGTTTCACCACATGTGTATACTTCACACAGCTGCCGGTGTGCTTCCAGGGCTTTATTAAAATGACCTGTACTATTTGTAGCCTTCACCACCTGGTCTTGTGGCTCAGTGTCACCTTCTTAAGGTGCATCTGTGTCGCCACTCGTAACCACAGGAAGGGCTTTAGACTTTTAACTCTTTCAAGTGCTTTATTATTATCTCGTTTGATGCTCATGCAGCCAGATGTTACTGTCCTTCCTGGGACAGTTACAAATAAAACAATCGCCAGGTGGCAAGCCAGGTGCCAGGCCAGAGACCGAGGCCTGTCGGCTGGCGGCCGCTCGTATGGCGCCACCGCATGACCTAGAAGAGGGTTCCCCTCCCGGGAGACAGGTCACAAGGAGGCTCCTATCCCCGGGCTGTGGGGAATTAGACCGTCAGCAGCCCTTCCTCCAGCCTCTCGCCGAACGCGGGTTGAGTCCTGGCGAGCAGGGCCTCCCTTCGGCCAGGCCAACCGTACGGGTGGCCACGTGAGGCCGGGCAGGAAAAGGCAGCCATTCGTGACCCTGTCTCCGAGGGGCCCCACAGGTGAAGAAGAGGAACCCTTCGCCACATCTGTGAGCTTGGCTGTGAGTGGGAAGGCAGGCCGGCCAGGCTCAGCAGCTCCACCTAAACGGCCCGGAGCCGCCCCCCGCTCCCTCTAACGCGAGCTCTCGGGGCCCGAAGCCCTTCGTGGGTTTACTCACGCGTAACTCTAAGCGAGACACGCTGGTCCGGATGTTAGAGCAACATCAGAAATGCCTCAGGACAGCAAGAAAGGGCAAACACTCCCAACTCTGGGAAACGGGATTTGAGCCGGGCCCTGAAACACCAGAGGCACTTGACGGCCCGTGGGAGCTGGGGAGACTCAGACAGAGGGAGTGAAATGGGAGACGAGGCAAAGAGCAGTAGTGGCCCCACGGGGCGAAGACCCGGGTGTGGCACGCGGCGGCCAGGGCCACGGGGACCCGCAGTGACTTCTAAAGGAGGCCCGGACGTCCACGGGAACAAGGTGAAGGGGGAAAATGCCGGGGGGTAAGCAGCTTTGGGGGTCAGTGGAATGTAGGCTTCGTACAGATTTTTCATTCGGATGAACATCTTTGCAGAAAGACAGAGGTGCTAATGTAAACGCAACAGAAGTTTGTTTTTTCTTTATTTCTGACGCAATGGAATAACGTGTCACATTCGCTACGTCCGAGCGCGACGTCTCGGGCTCTTGCAGCCACAAGGGCAAGAATCCATGTTTTGTGTGCGGCGCGTGCCGGCCGACGGGCGCAGAACACATCTTACCGGGATAAACTGTTCCAGGCGGCCTTGGGGGAAGATGCCGTAGAGCTTGGGTCCCAGCGACCTCTCTGCGAGAATGGCAAACATAACGCTCTCCAGAACCATGGCCTCGGCCCCCTAGAACAGACAGCAACACAGCACACGTTTCCTGAGGGCTGAGGGTGCGCAGGCACGAGCGCTTCCGCGGGAGCAGCGGCATCAGCCCCAGCGCCTCTACGACTAGGCGTCGTGACCGCCACCCCCATCTGGAACGCGAAGACACAGAGATCAACATCTTGTAACGTGCAGGGTCCGTGCTTGCAGGGGTCACGCTACACCAGTTAAGATTTAAAATCCCAGTTTAACTGGGTCGCTGATTCCAAAAGCAGAGTATCTGTTGGTATTTTACTGCTCGTATCTACCTTAAAACTTCTATGAACCCCACCCATGGCATCTTCTCAAAGGCCGCCACAATGCCGTCCACTCTGGAGAGGGGGGTGCTGGCCTGCTTTTCAGCCGCGAGTGCGGAGCAGGAGCGCGGGGGCCTTCTGCCACCGAACCCATCCTGAAGGACAACTGACAGACCTGGGCCTGTTTCTCGGTCCAAAGAGCGCCCTGGCGCGGCACATCCCGGCCTCCATGCCCTGCTCTTATCCCTAGTCTTTGCTGCCGGTTTAACTTTGTCTCTTGCCAAAATCCCTGAGGCTCCTAAGCGGTCTCTAGTCCCAGTGACTCAGGTGGGATCTACAACCATCCTGCCTACAAAAATCATCTTTTGGCCTCAGTTCAAATTCACTCCTCGGTCCTTTGCCATTAAACAGCAAATTAACCTCTAAGTCACTGTGTCTGAGGAGGGGCCAGTGGGCGGGGGGGGGGCGGGGGGAGCTTTCAGAGGATTCTTATTCACCCCTTGTTAAGAAACGTGCCATGGGGAGTGCGATCCCGCACAAACACGGAGCAAAGCGAAGCAGCTCTGTACGCTCATGTTACAAACACGCACAACGGGACCAACTCAGGCAATGACAGGGCGCTGACGTCACAGAGAAGAAAACAGAGAAGCTACTTTTCCAAAGGACACGGAACCACACTGGAGTAAACAGCCATTTGATCACCCTCACATTTTGGGGAGCAAACGGCTTTGCTGGTGATCCCCCGTAATTCCAGTTTAGCCACCGTCTCATGTGTGTCATTTATTCCCACAACTGTGGGCTGACCACCTCGTGAGACCTGCTCTTTACTTACTTGCAGTTTGGCACCTACGGCTGCCGTGAACGATACCGCGTCCTCCCCAAATCCACACGCCGAAGCCCTGGCCCCCAGCGTGATGGTGTGTGAGGACGGGCCTCTGGGAGGGGGACGGGCACAGATGAGGTCACGAGTGCGGGGCACCCACGCGATCAGCGTCCTTATACGAAGAGACACCAGAGAGCCCGCTGTGCCTCCCTCCGTCTCTCCATCCCTCTGCCATGTGAGGACTCGGAGAAGACCGCACCCGCAGGCCGGGAAGAGGGCTCCGCCAGACCCCAACCGTGCCGGCACCCTGATCTCAGGTGTCCGGCCCGCAGCGCCGAGAAATAAACGTGTGCTGTCCACACCCCCACGGAGCCTGTTATGGCAACCTGGGCAGACGCAGACAATGACCACACACGGCACTGCCCTGTCAGGTTAACGGCGTGGAGAACGGGTCGAGGGTCAGACAGGTTTTATTTCTGAACCCCTCGAAGGAGGTGGAGTCCCTGCCGGCCCGACGACCCGCACCAGAGACACCCCGCAGGAGAGTGTGCGCAGATCTGCAAGGCGCCTCTCAGACTCTCACCTGGATGTCGGTGTGGAGTGAAATGCCAAGGCGCGTGCAGGCCGGGCACCGCGGGACGGGGGACGGGGGTGTGGAGGCGGACAGGCTGTCCGTGGTGGCTCTGTGCGGCCCTCAGCACACCCTCCCCTCTGCACACCCTCCCTTCTCACGATTTCAAAGGGTTGCATCAGGATTTCTTCTGTCTAGGTATCCAGATTTTGTCGGAATCAAAATTTGTTTTCTGGCTTCCCTCTGTGTGGAGAGACTAAGCCTTAAGGGCCTTAGGGTTGGCGCCGTATAAAACATCCGAGTGCCCGATCCTCAACAGGCCTTCGCGTTTGAAGTTACAAACTTTATACAGAGTTAAGACCCACCGCGTTACCTCAGTAGCCTTAATATTTTGCGCATCGTGTCCACTCAGTACAAAGGCTACTGGGGACTGACTTCACAGGCCATGCTGTCGCTGAACACACACACTGTCCAGAATCCTCTAGAGTTGAGTCAACCCATCGCCAGGATGGAGAGAAGATGGAAAGAGACTTAAGAACTTTGCAGCTCTCTCTGGCATTGCTCCAAACACTATAAACAAGAAATCTCTTTGTTCATATGTAGTATCGCAGTTCAATATTTATTCCCGGTAGGGAGGAAGGGGAGCTGGTGCGTGGAGGGAAAAGTCTGGAGGAAGAAATGAAGGAAAACAATCACAAGCAAGAAACATGGTTAAAATAGGTTAAGAAGGATAGCAGGTGGCACACCTGGGTGGCTCAGTCGGTTAAGCGACCCACTCTTGATCTCAGGGTCATGAGTCTGAGCCCCACATTGGGCTCATGCAGGACACGGAGCCTACTCAAAAAAAGAAAAAAAAGGGGGAGCGGGTCATCTCAGAATGAGTGCATCGACTTGTGCCAGCCTTTTGGGAACCGCCAGGTCTCCAAACACCTCCCTGCTTGCTACTTAAGTGAGTAAAGAACCGGATGGGACCAGAGCGACCCAGTTCACCGCCCCAGCACTGGCCCAGGCGCCGCCACTGGCCATCCAGACACTGGTTCTAATTTCTTAGGACAGAAGGTCCTACCTCCGCTTGAAACCATTTCCTTGGCCCCAGGGAAACCGGAAAAGCCTGCAGGGACCCGTATCCCGGAGAGAGAAGCAGACAACGCACAAGCCCTGCGGCAGGGGCAGGACAGAGCTGCTTCCAGGAAATGACAAGGACACCTGAGGGTGAGACGGAGGTCCCCGAGGCGGGAGTGACTTTGGCACATTCAAGGCAGGGGAGGGGCGGGCGCCGGGAGCCCAGCCACCAGGAAAGAGGAGGCCCAGCGGGAGAAACCTCAGCGTGTGGAGCATTTAAGGGGAGGAACCCACAAAGGGCCTGAGATTCCCGGCGACAGTGAGGAGCACACTCTGGACCCACTCAATCCTTAAAACAAACCTTATATGCTCACAACTGTGCCAGACTTTCTAGCATTTTCTAACGTATTTCCTTTTAAAAAGCAACAAAAACGCTGACATCTCATGTCTGTGACCGATTCAGATGGGGGCAGCAGGAGGAGGAGGGAGCAGGAGAGGAGGCGGAGAAGGCACAGGCGTGATGGAGACAGTGTGGCGCTCCGTGTGCTGCTGATGGCAAACTCAGGGGAGGAGCAAAGTGGCCACTGGATCCGAGCACGTGGAAGTCGTCGGTGACCAAAACAAGAATGGTTCCAGGGGAGTGAGGGGTACAGGGGCAGAAGTGTCTAGGCAGACTTTTCATTTTATCTATGATAGATAATTTTCTTTTACAAAATTAAAATTTGTGAGCCTGGGTGGCTCAGTCAGTTAAGCGTCCGACCCTAGGTTTTGGCTCAGGTGGTGATCTCATGGGTTGTGGGTCAAGCCCCACATCGGGCTTGGCGCTGGCAGCGTGGAGCCTGCTTGGGATTCTCTCTCTCCCTCTCTCTGCCCCTCCTCCCACTCTCTCCCTCCCTCTCTGCCCTTCCCCCATTTGCACTGTGTCTGTCTCTCTCAAAACTAAACTTAAAAGACGTATTAAAAGAAATTAAAATCCAGGAATAGAATATCAAACTTATGAACTTCTTGAGAAGACATAACAGCGTTTCTGTGGTATTCTTGCACAAAATGCATAACCTCGTTCCGGTCATGAGAAAAGACGAGACAAACCCAAACCTGAGGGGACGTGCTACAAAGTAACTGCCCAGCGAGCACTGGGACTGTGAGGCGCACGGAAGCAGATACATGGACTAAGGGGGGAACAACCAGCAAATGCGGCACTGGGGTCCTGGCTACATCTCAGAACAGAACAACAGTGGAAAACCCTGGGAAACTCAAGTCGTTGTTACTGTGCCACATTGGTCTCCACAGTTGTGTCAGGTGTTAACGTCAGGGGAAGTCGGGGAAGGGTCGTATGGGAGCTCTCTGTACTAGTTTGAAAGCAAACTTCTGTTGTGTCTACAATTAGTTTGAAATAAAAAGTTAAAAATAAATAAATGCATCTAGAAAAGACTGAAATCAGGGGGTGCCTGGATGGCTCAGTCGGTTAAGCTGACTGATTTCAGCTCAGGTCACGATCTCACGGTTTTGAGTTCGAGACCCACATGGGGCTCTGTGCTGACAGTGGGGTGCCTGCTTGGGATTCTCTAACACGCTCTCTGCCCCTCCCCCACTTGTGCATATGCTGTCTCAAAATAAATTAAAAAAAAAAAAAAGACTGAAATCAGCAGTATGATTAAGTCAGCTACAAATTCTGCGCGGTGGCATAAAGGTGTTTACTAAATTATTCTGTGCTATTGCACGTGCTCAAAACTTTTTCAAAAAAAAAAATAAAGGTTGATCGGGAAGTGAGAAACAGAGTATATAAATCCTCTCATACTCTCTCAAGAAATCCTGCTACAAGAGGGAGCAGACTCAGGCAAGGCCAGCAAGTTCTGTCCGCCACGAGGAACAGGAGCAACGCGCCTGCAGACAGGGAGAGAGGACAGCTGGAGTCTGGAGCCCGAGGGAAGGACCAGCCCATGAAAAGGGCAGGTGCAAACACAGACAGTTCACATGCTTGCAAGTGGACAGACGAGGGCCGAGAGCATAGCGGCCACCAAAGACTGGGGCTCCGCGGCCTGCCGGGGGCGGTCCTCCCCGGCCAAGCGGTTTCCCGCCAATGATGTTGCTCAGGTGTGGGCTTAGAGAAGGCCAGGTGGCTGGGCCCAAAGACCAAGCTGGACACGGAAATCTTCAGCGAATCAGGGCAGCTCTCCGATGGTTTTCAACAGAGGAGAAATGGTTTGGAAGCAGGAATGGGAAGAAGCGAAAAGACACCACCCCCCCCCCCCCCACCACCAGTCGGCCTGGAGAAGGGGGCTGGGGAGCAGTCTCTGAGACAGTGAGCCTGTGGAGAGGCCAGTTGGCAGGGGAAACGTTCAGAAGAGAGAGGACAAGATTACAGACAGAGGCCAGCCATCCAAAGGGGCTCCAAGAAGAAAAACCACCTTCCCCATTCCCGCAGCCAAATCCCTACCTTTTCACCCAAAGAAATTACAATCAGAGCACCCGCTGTTTGCTGCTGGGCTCTGACTGGAAATCCAGCAGGCACAGGAGGAAGAAGCGTGGCGGTGACCAACGGGTCACCCGAGGCAAGGGCATCTTGGGCGGAGGAGGGGAAGGGACAAGGAGCGTGTGCACCAGCGGGCAAGGGGCAGAATGTTCCAGAGCTGTCCACTGGCTCCAGCTGCAGCCGACGTTCAACAATTCTATACTGCGCCCGCTCTACACCAGGCAGGACAGCCGTGGCGAGACCACACGGGGTGGCGAGGTGCTGCCCTGAGTCTAGAATCTCACAAGAGGGGGAGGCAGACGTGAACCGCGTGACACTGAAAGCCCCGGCCTGACAAGGTGCGGAGCGGCGGCATATGGCGCTCGGGGTGCGGGCACGGGACAGACACGCACGCCCAGTCCAGAGGGCAGGAGGGCTCCCTGGGGAAGCAACCCCGAGTGAGGTCCCATTACGTGCACAAGTGGGGGTGGGAAGCGGGCACAGTGGGGAGCACTCCAGCCGGAAGGAGCAGCATCGGCAAAGGCTCTGCGGCTGCAAGAAGACCACGGTTTAGGAGAACGTGGCTGGAGCAGGAATGTGGACGCGGGACGAAGGGGAGAATGGAAGGTTCAGCAGGACCAGACGACAGGCACCTGCTGGGATAAAGCCCAACCCGACCCGGGGCGGAGTGAGCACTGAAGGATGTCAGGCGAGAGGCTGACCTGACCAGAGGAGCTGTTCGAGCGGGAGCGGGAGCGGGAGCGGGAGCGGCGCCCCCAGAGGAGATGGCGGGAGCCTGGACCCCGGGGGTGGGCGGTTCCAGAGGAGACGGGCACACAGAGCCTCGGTAGAGTTCAGAGGAAAACAGACTCGGGGTTCGGATACGGGGTGAGGGAGAGAAGGGGATATCGGAGGTGACTCCCCGCCCTCTGTCTGCAGAGAAAGGAGAAAATGAGGCTCCGCCGAGGGGACGGGGTGGGGAGGAGTCCGTGCGTTCGTCTTGGGCCTGGTGACGCCACTGAGGGGCGGCGGCGGGTGGCGCTACCCCAGGCAGGGGGTCAGGGCCGGGAAGCGACCCAGGGACGAGGGGCAGTATGGGAGGAGAGCCTCGGGCAGGTCACGGGCATTCTGGCATTTGAGACGCTAGGAGGTCAGGCCTGGAAAGGGGCCGAGGAGGGGAAGAAAGCGTTCAGAAAGGGCAGGGTGCTACCGAGTGCTGCAGAGAAGGCGAGTCAGAACTGGAGGCGCACGGGGGGTCTGTGTCACGGACGCCCCAGTGGCCCTGGTGGCCCAGCCTTTTCTACCGCCGGCACACACGAAGGTCCACAGGCAGAGGCCTCAGATGGCTGCAAACTCACTGTCAATCACTTCCTGCCCAAGGGCGTCTCTGTCAGCGGTCACCCAGAGAGCACAAGCTCCAGATCCACTAGACGAGGGTCTCCAGGGAAGGGCGCAGCCACAATAATCCACTGCGACACGAGAAGGAAGTCACTACCAGTGCTTTATTTCTTCATGACCTCACCTCTTTTCAATTTCTACCTCTAGACCATTTGAGTAATTCGAATACGGTGAGGAAAGCTAGTGTACTTATATACGCGTGTGTAGATGCAGGTTTTATGTCTGTGCTGTGTGGGGGGGGGGTGTATACTTATACACAAACTTGCACGTGTTGGGACAGTATGCTCGAAAGTTGTTTACTCCCTGGAACGTGGAGATCACTCTCAAGACTCCCCACTTCTGAGCCTCATAGAGGGGCCAGGTGTGGACACAGCAGTGCTCCCGACCCCAGGCTCTTCTCTGAGTGTGAGCATTTCAGAGAGTGAGGTCATTTTAATTGGGAAGGAGCCTTTCTGACCGGACTGCCACTCTGGGAAAAGGCACCCCTGCCTGCACCAGGCAGTGCCTGCTTAGCAGAGGGGCGCGTGACCAGAGAAGGGGGCCAGAGGCACGCAGCGCAGCAGCACAAGCCTATCGCGCACAACCGTCTCCCCAAACTGCCCTCTCCCAGCGCCCCAAATAACGTCTAGGTTGCCACAGGGGCACCACACGTCCACTGCCTACACTCAGGAGGAACTGAAAATACCGGCAGCACGCTCGGTCTTAACCCCAGTGTGGCAAGAGCCCGTGCCCCGAGACCGACAGACCAGGGCCGTCCAGGGGCGGGAAAGAGGCACCGCGAGAACCGGAGCGCCGAAGTGGGCTAACACGGGTTTGTTTACACCTCATACAGATGCAGAACGGACTTAATTACTTACTTGAAATTCATTTTCTTTCTGAGCTTGTTCGGATCCCTCTTTATTACAGGACCTCTACGAATGAGAAAAAGCAAACACTTCCGGTAAGATGGGGAACACCACACAGACACTAACTTTGCAACCACCAGAACAGTCAGGGTTTATAAAACATCACAGATCTTTAATGAATGTTTCTCAACCCACTGAAGCCACCAGCGGCAGGCTAAAATGCCCCACCAGTGCCCACGCTAATGCTGATACCCAAGGAATCGCTTCATTTCTTTCCAGGAAAAGGAATGTGCTGTCGACACCCCACAGCCTTGTACCTTTTCACAATTTCATTGTCCGAGGAAAGTCAATAGGGGGCGCTCTTCCAATCAGGCCTTCCCGAGACCGACCGTCAAGTGGTCTCCCGATTTAGGTAGGCGGTTCCTTCAAGGCAACACTATCCCGAGGAAGCCTCCTTCCTACAAGAACGGGCAGTGTATACACACCCAGGGCAAGTCGTGGTCAGCACAGAACTGGGACAGAGAAGAAAGCCCCGTGCGGGCGGGAAGCGTGGCACCGAACGTGGGCGACGAGCCTGCCAACTTGGTACGTTCACAGACTGGCCCTGCTCGCTCCGCCTGTCCCTGGCTCGATCTGAATTCTTCCTCCGCCAAAAAGAGGGTCGTGCAAATTTAATAAAGCCCCTAAGCTTAGTTCATGGATTAAGGGATCCGTGTATCACTTTCCTCAATGAAATTGCAAATTATTGGAAGCCAGGGATCTGGCAAGTAACAACTAGATCATTAACGACCTTAAATGACTCTCTGGCTACGTTCTTTCTTCAAGGCACAGATCGTATGTTTTAAAAGCCCCCCCACCCCCACCCCCACCCCAAGTGCCGTAAAAGCCTTCACAGTATCTTTAATAAGGGGATGGAGAAAAGCAAGTCAGAAATTTAAGGATCGTGTCGAAATTTTATACTCAAATATCACCTCCAGAAATGTTACTTGTTATCACTGAACTACGTCGGCTTAAGCCAGACACAGAAGGAAGCCCACAGGGGGGCTTTTTAAAAATTTTAAGGTAAAAGATTCTGGAACATCCCGTGAAAAACATACCTTTCCATTCCACAGCTTTATCAAAAATACCTGTACCAAGGGTGGAAAGTGTGGACAGGGGAAAAAAAATGCCACGTTAAGCAACACCAGCTACTCCAGCACCATTCAAAAACTGTAGTGATTTAAAGCAGGGCTCGCATCCATCATAGACGGAAACAGTGCACAGACGTCTTAATGTGTGTTCTGCACAAACCGTACACGTGCTGGCTTATGCGATATAAAAGTAAACAAATACCCACGTTCATGAAGCTATCTGCAAAAACCTCGCACTTTTACGTATTCGGTAACATCTTTAACATCCAGTTAAGTTCATTTTGTACAAAGTACAGAAAAATACAAATGGAGGACATATATTTTCATTTGCATAATCTGCGTTTCTCTGATGAAAAGATGCTGCAGGTGAAATCCCGTTACGATCAAAGCTACAAAAATGAAAACGCTACGGAAATAATTTTAGATGTTTGCCGACAGCGTGACATATGGTATGACGGGCTCTAGGAAGGAGTAACTGGGTACCGTTAAAGCTTTCCTCCTTCCTTAATTCCAAAATACTCCCCTTACTGAACCGTTACCTCAGACTCTGACTTTAGCGTCTCCTCTCTCCCCAGCGGCCTACAAGTTCCTAATGAATAGGGATTCCGTCTTTTATTTATTGTTAGTGTTCCCCCAAAGCACCAAGCAATCGGGGCGCTCACTACACTGTCGCTGGGGTGATGGAAGGCCACTCCCGCGCTGTGAAGCTCAAGGCATGGCCTCTGGGCCGGAGCTGGCGGGCACTGGGCAAGCTCGCGTCCCTGATCGGAGCAGCGCAGCGGGGGGAAACTGGCTACAGTGTTAATCAGGATGCTGAATGGGGCCAAGGAAAGTGAAGAACAAAAAAAGTACCGTAATGTGACACACTGTATATCGATACTTTGTCAAAAAGACAAATATGGAATGTGGATATCCTACTGAAATCTGTTGTAACGGGATTTGACCTGTACAGAACTCTAAATGACTACAGTTATTCCTACACTGTTATTATTCAAACTGTACTTCTTAGGGAGATACAGTCAATGGGTTATACAGCCAACAGAAGTCCCTTTCCCTTGTCCAATGGTGCTCTCCAAAGCGAGTCATTTCCTCCAAAGTCACAAATTGCCTTAGTTCCCACGGCCATTCCTTTTTAATACTCGTACCCTTAAGTGGAAATCAATTCTGTTAATAATTTCCCCACCCCTGCCCACTCCATTCCACCCCCAAATGAATGCATTACTTATACCATAAGAGCACCATCCTGAAGGCAAGATGGACTTCTGCCATATTCAACCCTCTGTTCTGTTTCCTCAGTACAGAATGTTCAGGTTCCCTCAATCCTGCAAACAAGAAGAGTAAGAAAAAGACCAGGAAGTCTCAAACCAATCAGATATTCACAAAAAGTGAGAGAAGAGGCCTCCTCCTGATAAGCCACAGAGAGACAGACTCACATTGCCAAAAAAGAGGTCAGAGAACTTTTTTTGTGCAGGAAAATGGGAAGTAAAATAGATCTTGGCGTCTGTGGGATTCTACTTCAGAGGCACAGATTTATTTGAAGCAGATATTAAAATATCTTGTATAAATATTTAACACGACCCCGAATTTTCTGCCAACTTGCAAGTTAATAAAAACTCTATGCAAATATATAAAAGAAAACTACAATTTTTTACATTAGAAATTTGAACACTGGTTAATATCAAATAATTACTAAAATCTATTGATGTGAACATGATTGTGGTCATTTTTTTTTTAAATCATCTTACGTAGACAGAGACCGAGACGTTCACGGAAGTAGTAACACGATGTCTGGCGTGTGCCTCATAATAACCTCACCGAAGGAGCGAGGGTGAAGACAAAGGACTGGTCAGAGGGGAGGCGGGTATTGGGCACTTGGGGTTCATTATACTCCTCTGCTCTACTCTGTATGTATCTGAAATTCCCCATAATAAAAACTGCTTTTTGTAAGTAAACAGAAATTTCAGGGCCTAAGAAGTCAGAATGCATCAAGTATGTTCAAGATTGTAAAAACCATTAAACGGTACACTCTAAATGGGTGAACTGTAGAACATAAAGACATTTAAAAAAACAAAAAACAAAAGACACCCGAAGATATTTTAAAATATACCGCCACTGGCTTCCCATCTTCCTCACTCTTTTCTTCCTATTTTGGGCTTGTTTTTCAAGAGAATCTATAAAAGGATTCATTATAATCCACACATTCATTAGACTGTGATATAGGAAATAAAATTATCTAAGGGGGTAGCAGTACTAACAGGGGTATGGTTTATATTTCGTTTTAGAGATCAAGATTTTGAAAGCGGAGTCAGATTTTTCATGGGCCAAGAACTTCTAAATAGGAAAAAAATTAACATTGATACTATAAGTTATTAGATTTTTAAATGTTTTATTATATGCTTTGAAAAGAAAATGGAAGTCAGTAGACTTTAGAGGCTGAGATGAGAAAATATCGCTTGACTAAATTTTGTCTTAAATAATTTTAGGATTCAAAAACATTCTATTTAAAGTTACCTGAGGGGTGCCTGGGTGGCTCGGCTGGTTAAGTAAGCATCTGACTTCAGCTCGGATCATGATCTCACGGTTTGGGAGTTCAAGTCCCGCACTGAGCTCTCTGCTGTCAGGGTAGAGCCCGTCTTGGATCCTCTGTTCCCCTCCACCCCTCCCCCAGGCGTTCCCTCTCTCTCTCAAAAATGAATAAACCCCTCTTATAAAAAATAAACTTAGGGGCAGCTGGGTGGCTCAGTCGGTTAAGCGTCCGACTTCGGCTCAGGTCATGATCTCACAGTTTGTGGGTTCAAGCCCCGCGTCGGGCTCTGTGCTGACAGCTCAGAGACCGGAGCCTGCTTCGGATTCTGTGTCTCCCTCTCTCTCTCTCTGCCCCTTCCCCCACTTGGTCTCTCTCAGTCTCAAAAATAAACAAACATTAAAAAAAAAAATAAAGCATATGTGTTACCTTTAAAAAAAATAAACTTAAAAAAATATAAAAATAAAAAACAAAGTTACCCCATACTCCACAAGGTTTATTTCTTTAGATGTGTCTAAGCGTTTGTGCAGAATCAACTCTTATCTGGCCAGTTCTTACTAACAGATTCCTCTAATGATGAGGGAGCTAGTGTTACAACTGAACTGCTTTAAGAAAGCCCCATTTGTGCAATGAAACAAAGCATACCTCGCTTTCCCTAAAGTCTGTGTATGTGTGGCTATGCATGTAAATAAATCAGTCAAAGTGTATAAAGAAAGTGGCATGGCTGGGGCGCCTGGGTGGCGCAGTCGGTTAAGCGTCCGACTTCAGCCAGGTCACGATCTCGCGTTCTGTGAGTTCGAGCCCCGCGTCAGGCTCTGGGCTGATGGCTCAGAGCCTGGAGCCTGTTTCCGATTCTGTGTCTCCCTCTCTCTCTGCCCCTCCCCCGTTCATGCTCTGTCTCTCTCTCTGTCCCAAAAATAAATAAAAACGTTGAAAAAAAAAAAAAAAAAGAAAGTGGCATGGAGTGGCACCCAGCTATTTGAATGTCATCTCTAAGACTAAAACATTTGTCTTTAAAGTATCTTTAGGGGCACCTGGGTAGCTCAAGTTGGTTAAGGGTCTGACTTCGGCTCAA